TCTTGGTTCTAAAACCGAGTAAAGTTAAAACTATTTCCCCCACCCTGGTTAAGGCAGATAATTAGAACAGATAGGACCCCGGATGGGAATAGATAAATAAACTTAATTATCTTCAACTATTTCTTCACCCTGGACCCAGTTGGAGATAGATGAGTAAACACATAGGACGCCGGTTGGAGACAGATGAGTAAATATAATAAGCTCAGTTTCTTAAGAACTGAATGGAAAAAAAAAAATTCTTTCCTGCTATTTCCTTAGGCACAGGTAATAAACGTGTTAATGTGTCTTTGAAAATTAACTCTGGCTGGCTTGAGGACATGCACAGTGGGACAGAGAGGAACAAAGTTACTGGGAACTAATACTCTCTCCTCTGCCTAATCCCAGATCAGCTGATGACAGGAAGCCAGTGTGACTCATCTGGTATGCAAACGCACTGGCTCAAAACGCTACTGTCCTTTAAACCAAGGTGCAGAAAATTTCAGCCAATCATCAACGATCTCATGCCCAAATTCCTGACATTTTTATGAATATGCATAACCCTCTCTTCTGAAACCTACAAAACTGTAATTCAATGGAGTTTCAGGGAGTCAGATCTGGGTACGGGTACCCCTGCTCCCTGCATTGCTGCTTTGCAATAAATAATTTTATCTCTTCTTAATCACTTGGTGTGTAAACTGTTTTGGCCTGACTGTGCACCAGGCGGGGACCCACATTTGGTCCTATTTCAGTTCCGTATAATTTTCTGTCCTGATCTCATTTTGCTTATGAATCATTTTATCACTTCCTTCATTGCTATTGTTTTAGTATCTGGTAAATATCTGTGCTGGTCCTCTTTTTTATTTTGATGTGAAGGTTTATAATTTTTCTTTGAGGTTGCCCTGCAATTTACAGTTTTCTTCCCAAGTTTAGAACAGTTCATTCTATCTTGTAGTGTCTTGACTTCCCTACTATTAGAAGTTCTGTAACTACACAATTTTTTCCCTCTTTTTGGTTTGTAGTTGTCCTCATTTGTCAATTGATATCTCTAGTTCCCTGTTTACAATCTTGTAGGCTTATTTACTTTGGATACTTCTATAACTGGGTTGGTTTCTGTGTTATGTCATGTGTGTTAATGGTCAGTTGTTTGCCGTTGTTGGTTCTCTGTCCAAAGGACTTCCTTTAGCATCTCTTATAAAGTTGGTCTGGTTTTAACAAATTCCCTTCATTTCTGCTTATCTGGAAATGTCCTAATTTCACCATCATATTTGAGGGATTTTGCTGGGTACATAATTCTTGGTTGGAACTTTTTCTCTTTCAGGGTTTTATATATACCATCCCATTGTCTTCTCACCTGCATGGTTTCTGCCAAGAAATCTGAGCGTAGTCTTATTGGTTGCCCCGTGTGGGTAACTTTTTGTTGTGCCCATGCTGTTGTCAGGATTCTTTCTTTGTCTTTGGTTTTGGTGAGTTTGATGATGATATGTCTTGGTGATTTTCTTTTGGGGTCTATCCTGTTTGGGGTTTGTTGGACTTCCTGAATGGATGTATTCTCATCTTTCATCATACCAGGAAAATTCTCTTGCAACAAATCTCGGACAATTTTCTCAGTGGTTCTTTTTCTCTTCCTATTCTGGTTATTCCTTTTGATGGTATCACATATGAACCTTCACTGCCGTTGAGTTGGCTATGACTCATAGCAACCCCTCCTTGGCTTTCCGAGGTGGTATCTCTACAGATTCTTCCAAGGAGCGGCTGGTGGGTTTGAACCACCAGCTTTCAGATTAGGAGTCAAATGCCTTAGGCACTACGCCACCAGATTTGTGGAGTTTTTTTTTTTTTTTTGTTCACATGGATCTTAGGTTTTTTTCATTTTGTTTTGATCTTTTTTTCTGATTGATCCCTTTCCAAAGAAGTATTGAGATATTTGTCTTCTATCTCCCAAAATCTGTCTTCCATTGATTCAATTCTACTCCTTTGCCCATTCCATGTATTATCTGTTGCTGAAAATTTAGTATTAATCTTCTGGATTTCTGTCTGTGGATTTTGTATAATTTCTAATTCTTCATTTATTTTGTTATTTTGTTCTTGTATTGTCTTTTGAAATTGTTCTAGGGTTTTCTCTGTGTTTTCCTCAATTTTGTCAGTGTTTTCCTTCATTTGTCTCCCAATCCGTTGAAGGTACCTAAATATAATTCTTTTGAATTCCTTATCAGGGAGTGCCAAAGCTGCGTATTCCTCAGGGATGTGTTTTGGGTCGGTAACCTGGTCCCTTGTTTCTCCTGCTTTATCTTGCTTCTTTGTGTGCACTGTGATGCTCTGTTGTCTCTAAGGCATTGTGACATTTTTGTGTTTGTATTTAATTGGTGATTGTATGTTGGAGTGACTTGCCCAAGATTTTCATTTTGTTTGGTTTGTATGTTATTTATGCAAGCAGGGTACTGTGCTGTGCTCCTCTATTCACTAGCTGGCAGCACTTATACACTCACCACCTGTCTCCTTTCCCATCGTCTGCCTCCCATATGCCCCTGCCATCCTAGGCAAACAGAGCTTATTCTTCCAAACCAAACCAAACCCACTGCCATCGAGTCAGATCCAACTCATAGTGACCCCTCCTTGGGTTTCCAAGGCAGTATCACTATGGAAGCAGATTGTCCCGTCTTCCTTCCGAGGAGTAGCTAGTGGGTTTGAACTTCCAGCCTTCTGGTTAGCAGTCAAATGCCTTAGGCACTATGCTACCAGAGAGAGCTTATTCTTAGGTCCCTGGAATCCGAATGAGAATGCTGTCACTTTAAAATGACCACTACTTGTAAACATTCAAAATGGCTGCAGCCTTGGTCATTTAAGTATCCAAAATGGCCACCGCTTGTAAACATTCAAAATGGCTGCACCCTCTGGACAGCAGGAAGTCAACAGCTCAGATTATTTCACTTCTTGCTGTTTCCCTTCCTAGTCACAGGCCAGCAGCACAGTCGTTCCTGCAGCCCTTGGTGACCAAGGCTGATCTTTAAGTCAATTCTCAGGTCCCAACACCACTTGGAACTATTCAGGCTATTGGTCATGTCGGAGTAGCTGACAGTCCGCAGCTCCAACCGTCTCTGTACTCACTGTTTTCCTTCAGGTATTTCCACTAGTTGGTGCCTAATCCACTTCTGTATAGTTCCTTTCAAAGCTCAGGGCTCCAGGATTACCTTCTGTATCCTTGTCTATTGGTTTCTCCTTTCTTTGTTGAAGAGGATCTGTGTCGCTTGCCTGCCTATTCCTCCAACTTACCGGAAGCCCCAAGGCCATAAATCTATACAGAAGCAGACCACTCATCTTTCTTCCATGGAGGGGCTGGTAGCTTCAAACCACTGACCTTTTGGTTAGCAGCCTTAACCAGCACATCACCAGAACTCCTTTTAAATGGACCAGCGACCTCAATTTAAGAGCTACCACTAGAGAACTCTTTGAAGAAAAGATGAGTGGAAATCTTCCTGATGGTGGGTTAGGTGAAGACCCCTTCAGTATGACACCCAAAGGCAGGCAACAGAAGAAAAGACAGCTAACGTGGATTTTACCAAACTGTGAAAAACACTGATACACAGAATGGAAGAATGTGCAACATTAAAGAACAAATGATGAATCTGCAAACCATCTCATAACACGGATGAACTCAGACCCCTTATGCTGAGTGAAGTCAGTCAATCACAAAAGACTCTGCATGAGACCACTATCGTAAAAAGTCACAAAAAGGGGTTCACAAAAAAAGAAATGTTCTCTGATGGTTCCAGGGGTGGTGAGGAAGGGAGGGTCAACCACTAACCAGAGGAGAGAGACACACTAACTTGGGCATCAAAGGGGTGAAAAGGTAACTGACAGGATGGGAGATAGGTGCAAATCCTGTATCAGAGAAAGGGTTAATACCAGAAAACATTCAGAAGACTATAACCAATCAACCCCATTAAACCAGGGGCAAGGAGCTTGGAAGGGCACATCTACAAAGGACATATGCAAAAGGCCACTAAGCACATGAGCATCGTTACTCACTCAGCATCATTAGTCACTGAGGAACCAGGAATCCAACCACAAGGAGACACCACGTCACACCCACTAAGACTGATGCCCCACAAAGTGAAACAAGGAACTGCTGTGCAGCTACGACTCTCAGTTAGCAGCGGAGTGCTCAACCACCGCACCACCAGGGCTCTCTATCTGCAACAGGCAGATGCTGCATTGGGACAGCCAGCGGACTAGCAGCTACCGGGGCTGGGGAGGCATCATGGGGAGTGAGCTTAAAGGGCATGGAGTCCTCTTGTGGGGGGCAGGATGAAGAAGTCTGGGGAGCAGAGAGACGCGACGGAGAAACAACACTGTGTTGTAATTAACACCACTACAGCACATCCTTACAGGGGTTTTTATGTTAAGTACAATTTACCACCATTAAAAGAAAGTTCCCCTCACAACGCTTCCTGGCACTTTACCTCACCCCACGTCTGACTCTGCCAAACCTTGTGACATGGACGTCAGTCAGAGCATGCAGGCTAAGAGCAGTCAGTGGGCAGACCCCGTCAAAGTGCAGGTTGAGCTGCTGCTGCCCGGGGCTCCAGCTGTTGGCACGTGGGCCGCTGGGGGCTCGGACTAAGCCCCCGCCCGACTCCACTTCTGCTGCCCTCGGCAGGTCTACAGCCACGTAACGATGACGCTTTCCTGCCGTGCTCCCGGCAAACAGCTCACCGAGGCTGTTCCCTGCCATGTTCTCGACAAATAGCTCACTGAGGCTCAGGCGCCCCGAGGGCATGGGGTCATGCTGTCGCTGCCAGCCTTGCACCCCACGCCCTGTGCGGACGTCAGCCCTGCACACCTGTGCGCCCGCCCTCCCTTCCCCACGCCTCACGTGCATCTTCCCCGCACCATGTGGGAACCTGGGCACATTTGCCCCCATGTGCGTGGCCCCAGGCCGAGGGTGCAGCCACATCGTGCCCGGTGCCGGCCTGACACACGGCAGGATTCGCCCCTAATAAATTCATTTTTAAAGAATCGGACTAAAATGTGGCTTCTCCCGAGAGGACCCTCTGCTCCCCAGATGGGTAGTTTGAGGGTCAGCATTTCTCAAGGTCACCCCTTGCCCTGGTGGTGGGCTACAGGCAGGGTCACCCACCTTCACCGTCTCCTGCAGGATGGCCAGTGCCTGCTCCTTGTCCTCCAGCAGCTGCTGGGCCCCAGGGTCCAGGGGCTCCCAGGGCTGGGCAGCAGTGTCCCGACTGCAAGGCAAATGCTACCTGTAACCCGGCCCATGAGAGACAGGACCAGGGAACAGGAGGGGGACTGAGCGTGGGAAAGGGGGAGGGTCTGTGAGGCAGGGCCCACCCTTGGCAGGCACAGCCCTTCTCCTCCAGGGACCGCTGACGTGCAGAGGGCTTCCAGGCACACGGCGGCGCTGGGGGACTTGCCGGTCCTGCATGAGAAACGGACATGTCTGCTCGGAGCCTCCACCCAGAGGGGGCCCTTGGTGGGGGCCAGGGCAGAGGTCCCATCTGCAGCAGGGTCACTTTAACCCCCAGGGTGTGGGACACAAGCATCTCGCCCCCTCACGGGATCTGGAGGCTGTTGACCCCACCCACCCTGCTCCTCCTCTGTGCTGATGCCTGCTGTGTGCCTGCGGCCGGTGAGCTCTGCCCGTGGACTCTCGGCACCAAGGCCATAAGGTCTTGGATCCTGCAAGGATTGTGACAGTGGAGACCCCAGGTGCCTGGGAGGCACCCAGAGGGTGGGGAGGGGCAGGTGGGAAACAGGCCAGTGGGCTGGACCAGGAAGGGGTCTTGCCTTCACAGGGTAGGGGGTGGGGTGGGCTGGGACACAGGGGCTCTAGGACCACCACCCTTTGCCTGCATCATCCCATGGGCAGATCAGAGTGTACCTTGGGAACGCCCTGTCCAGCAAAGACATACCACCTCAGACAGGGGGTTCCCACCCAGCACGTCCTCCTCCACCTTGGCCCTCAGCGTACATAGGATGGGCTCCACGGCCCCAGGCGTGTTGGCCACCACCTTGCGGATGTCGGCCTCCGAGACACAGAAACGCAGCTTATGAAAAACTTTCCTAAGAAGGAGCCCACGAGGCCCTCAGAACACAGCTCCTGCCTTTCAGGTCCAGGTGAGGGCCACCACCTGGGCCACAGGAAGTGACCTATCATGTCTGCCTTCAGGGGTGACAGGGTGTGCTCGGCAGGCTGCTGCATCCTGGGCCCTGGCCCCTTGTGGCCTGGAGCTTCTAGGGACAGTGCACCTACCCACCCTGTCCAACATTTGCCCTTCTCCCTTCCACCCCACCTCCAAAGTGCCCAGCGTCCAATCCCTCCTCACCACTTGTCCCTGGATGCAGGAGCTACCTCCACTTTCCCCCTTCCCTATTTCCACCTGGCCCCAATGCCCACCATCCCCTGTGTGTCACACCTGCCAGCCCCACCCAGGATGGCACTAGATCCTGGCATGGCTTCAGAACCCACAGACTCATGGCCAGCCCTGTGCGCCTCACAGCCTGTCTCCCCGCCAGCTGCTCAGCTCTGTAAGAGCAGGGACTGCTCATTGCCTGATACCCCAAAGTACTATCTGTTGAGTGGGTGAGAGGCTTCTGTGGGGTACCCAGGTGTGGCTGGCATGGGCTGGGCACAGGGTCGGGGGTGTGACTGATATCCACAGATGGGTGCCCTCCTCCCATCAGGGAGCACCCAGGAGCCCTAGTTTGAGGGTGAGGTTCTGGTGGACCAGCACATGGACACTGAAAAGGGTGGCAGAGATACCCACAGAGGACCAGTGTCATGAAGAGGGGCCACCAGAGAGCCAGAGTGGGACTCTGAGGTGGGGGTTCTGTGGTGGGAGGTCTGTGGGGATTCTGCAGGTGGGGGGCTCTGTGGTGGGGCTCTGTGAGGGGGGGCTGTGCAGGTTGGGGGGTCTGCAGGTGAGAACTCTGTGATGGGGGGCTCTGAAGCAGGGTTCTGCATGGGTGGGCTCTGCGTGTGTGGGGTGGGCTCTACGTGGGGGGCTCTCGGGTTGGGGGCTGGAGGGTGCTCTGTGGGGGGCTCTCGGGTTGGGGGCTGGAGGGTGCTGTGTGGGGGGCGCTCGGATTGGGGCTGGAGGGTGCTGTGTGGGGGGCGTGCCTGTTCAGAGTGCTCCAGTTGCTGAGCTTCTGGTCCGTGTTGCAGCTGGGGACGTAGTTGTGCAGGTCCACGAGCTGGGGCCGGAAGTGCTTCACAATTTCAGCCAGCCTCACTGCGGCAGCGGAGGCAGAGGGAAGAGGCACAGGGTGAGATGAGCCCGTGTCTTACATCATCGCGGTTTCCCTTGGCCCCTGGGGTGATGACGACAGAGAGCAGGAAGCAGGAAGCAGGAGAGAAGGACAGGCTGATCCCCCCCAGACGTTGGTCCCCTACGGTGGAGAAGACCAGGAGAGGGACCAAGGCCTGGGGTGGGGCTGGGGCCAGAGCTCACTGCAAGGCCGGGGGTGCCCCTAATCTGCACGACTGTCCTCACCCGGCAGGGCTGGAGGGCTACCGTGACTGGGGGTGAATGCTCAGTGAGCATTTGGGGAACTCCTCCAGGGTGGTCTTACTCCTGAGAAGGGAAGGGCACACCAGGAAGAGGCCACGAACAGCCAATGGGACCCCTGAACTGTGCAAACACAAATGACAACCAGAGGCCCTGGCCGGAGGCCTCAGCCTGGACCTCGGCGGCCCCACGGCTCTCCAGTCTTTCCAAAGTCGCTGGGGACGGACCGGAAGTACAGAGAGCCCAAGCTCTCCCAGGGGCCTGGGAAGGGGTGCGCACACGCCCCGACCCGCATTCCTGCTCCCGGGACGTCGCGTCGCTGCCTCGGGTCCTCTGGGGCCCCTGCCCCGGCCACCGCCTTCACGCGCCGTCTCCCGCTCCTGCTCTGGGTCTTCAGCACTTTGCAGGGGGCTCGGGAGTGGGGACCCTTCCCTGGCAGCTCGGGCCACGTCTCCGTCCGCCTGGGGGCCCCTCGAGAGGAAAGGCCGGGGTCCCGGTGACGGGCGACCGTGCCGGCTGCGCGTGTCCCTGTGTGCCCTCCGCCACCCGCCTTCCAGGACCCCAGCCTGGCCAGTCCTCGGCTGCACGGCCCCACGGCCTCACCGCCGTCGCTGAAGTCCCGGGCCAAGTGGCGCTTGGGGCGGCTGAGCGGGAGCCGGTCCAGCCAGGCGTAGAGGCCGCGGAGGGCGGCGGGCGTCAGCCGCGGGACGGCCGGGGGACTCTGGCGGGCCGCAGGCAGCATGGCCCCTGAGCTGCTTGGTTGGGCCGTTGCCGGGAGACGGGCCGGAAGGGGTGGGGCTCCAGGGTTGGTGGTGGGGCGGTTGCCGGGAGACGGGCTGTAAGGGGCGGGGCTCGCGGTTCAGGCTTGCTGCCCGGAGGGCTCGGGCTGGCGGCTGCTTCCCGGTCAGCTCGGAGCCGTAGCGTTTTTGTTGTTATGTGCCGTGCCGTGGAGTCAGACCCGACTCGTAGTGACCCCTCCTTGGGTCCGAGGCAGTATCACTACGGAAGTAGGTTGCCCCATCTTCCTTCCGAGGAGTGGCTGGTGGATTTGAACCGCCAGCCTTGTGGTTAGCAGTCAAGTGCTTTAGCCACTACGCTAGGGGAGCCGTAGCGCTTGGGTCCCTGTAAACACCAGGCCCTGCGTGTGAACTTTAGTTCCAGGCGAAGACTTCGTACCGAGAACATTACGACCCGAAGCAACGCTCTGCCACCCTCCCTGTGGACCCTCAGGTCCCACGCTTGGCTTTTCCGCAGAGCCCAAAGGCAGAAAGGGGTTGGCCACCCTGCGAACCCCTCAAGGGACAGCGCTCCAGCCACACTGACCTCGGGACTTTGAGCTTTTCATAGTTAATTGTTTAATCAATCCCTCAGCGCTGGTTCTTTGGGTCTAACTAGCCCTTGTCTGCATCTGGATTGGGGTTATTGGTGGGGGAAGAATTTAGTATTACCATGCAGGCAACCCCTCCTCAGAAGGAAGGTTGTGCAATCTACTTCCGTAGATACCGCTTTGGAAACCCAGGAGGGATCGCTATGAGTAGGATCGACTGGACAGCAGTGAGTGTGTTTGTTTTTAATGCACGGAGAAATGAAGAGGTAGTGTGACACCGTGTAGTTATAGTCCACATTTTATTTTAACAAGCACTGGACCCTTACATAGTATAAAAATAATCAGATTCCACACTGTGTTCTAATAAGACTCTCCCAACAGAACTTGGTCAATAATTTAATCATAAATACAGCTTTCTCATTATCAAAGTCTAAAAACGTCTCTGCTGCTGACTCTGCACCCGAGGGGTGAGGGGAAGAACCAGCCTAGGTGGTCACCTCCACACATGGCCCTCAGGGAATGGTGGTGAGTCCTAAGCCAAAACATGAAACAGAAGCTTGCTGTAACAAAATGGAAGACTGAAGCGTTTCTTCTTAAGTCTCATGGGAAAGCAGGCTTGTGTAGATGCAGAGCTCATAGTCAGCCTCTTCAAAGCACACCCAGCGTGCCTGTCTTGGGGTGGGGGAGGGATCCTAGCTAGGGGCCATTTCTGGTGAAATGTAAACACATGGGTGGGTGGGTAGGGGAGCTTCTGCCCGGAAGAGAAGGGGTTTGGAGCTGCCAGGAGCTCAGGCCTGAGAGTGGGTGCAGAGAGGGCTGGAGGGAAGGATGTATCCTGAGCTGTCTGGACCACCCCCCCAACAGGAAATGATGGCTCCTCTCCACCTGGATGGAGCCACAGACAAGCTGGGTGGAATGTGTTCCCCGTGGGCTGGCCTAGGCTCTTAGGTGAATGAGCTCAGAGGTTAGGGACTAGCTGCCCGAGGCCCAACCACGGAGTCCCAAGCTGAGAGCCGCTTGCTGGAGACCATGGCCACTGCAGTGACTCTCGGGTGAGGAGAGCAACTTTGGCCATGAGGGGTGTGCGGCCCCCGAGGCTGCACACCTGGGCCCCGGCTGTGGAGTCTGCCCTGGCAAGGAGGCACACACAGTCTTCCAGCATGAATGACAGGCAACTTCCAGACAGGTTCGCAGGCGCCCCCACAGTGTTCAGGAGCTCCGGACTCTGGTCACCTCCTCTGGATGGGGGGCTTCAGGGCAATTTTTGTGCCAAACTCCTTGGAGAGGAAAAGAGAGCCGATGTTAAAAAGCACCTGCTACAAAGGGACAAATGAGTCCCGCTTGCTTCACATGGGTTAGAATTCAGATCTCAGTTCATCCAACAACAGTGGCTCTGTCCACACAATGGTGATGGTGACAACACAGTGTCAACAGCTAACTCGTCACACACGTGAAGAACAGTGACAGTCACAGTGTCAACAGCTAACACACACGTGAAGGATGACAGGACAGTGACAGTGTCAACAGCTAACCAGTCACATGCACGAAGGATGACAGTGACAGCACAGTGTCAACAGCTAACATGTCACACATGAAGGATGATGGTGAGCCACAGTGTCAACAGCTAACATCACATGCATGAAGGATGATGGTGACAGCAGTGTCAACAGCTAACACATCACACATGAAGGACAGTGACAGTGACAGCACAGTGTCAACAGTTAACACATCACACACATGAAGGACAGTGACAGCACAGTGTCAACAGCTAACTTGTCACACACATGAAGGATGACAGTGACAGTCACAGTGTCAACAGGTAAGTTGTCACACACGTGAAGAACAGTGACAGTCACTGTCAACAGCTAACGTCACATGTGAAGGACATGACATGTGACAGCAGTGTCAACAGCTAATTCGTCACATGCATGAAGGACGATGTGACATGTGACAGCACAATGTCAGTAGCTAACTTGTCACACATGTGAAGAACTGACTGTCTACACATCTACGTAGGGAAAACACTGCAGAATTCAGTGTGAAAAAGTGGCGACTGCTAAAGTTAGGATGAACCTGTAGGGTTCAGGAGTTTTCCATCCTTTTCAAAGTTGATCAACAGACAATTTAAACAAGGAAAAAGCCCCACCCTCTCAGGGGAGCTGTCGCCCCTGCCCAGATGGATGCCAAGAGCAGGCAGTGGGGTGGGGGCTCACCTGAGTGGGAGCAGGCTTGGGGTTTCCAGCACCAGGCTTGGTGGGTGGCAGTGGAGGCACAGTGGTGGGCTTGATGGCTTGGGAGGGAGTAGACCCGCCAGCACCCGGCTTGGTAGGTGGCATTGGGGGTGCAGCAGTTGGCCTGATGACCTGGAGGGGCGGCAGGCACAGCTGAGGTCAGAGGCTGCTTCACCTTACCTGGGCTCAGTCTCTCCCCACCGCAGCCTTGCAGTGAGCCCCCAGCTCCTGCCTCTGCGGAGCGGGTGCACTCCACCAGAAAAGCCTCCCACACACAGAATAAAGGCCACGCTGGCAGGAGTGGCCGTTCCCGGACTGTCCAGCCCAACGTGTCCAGCCTCACTGCCCACTCTCCTCTCCACAGGACCCCCAAGAAGCCCCTCAATGGCCAGAATTCAGGTCTTTGCATTGCTGTGGATGTCAGCCTTCCCACGACATAAGGGAGGAGCTGGGATCTGGGATGAAGGAGGAAGGCAGAGCAGGGGGCTGCGGTTCTCACTCTGGGGGGCATGTCCGTGAGGACATGGGGTTGGCCATGGCTGCCCAGCCCGGCCCTGCCAGCACACAGCACAACTGCACTGCCGTCTTCGCCCTGCCCACTCCTCACTGCACCAGCCCCTTTCCTGAGCCTGAAAGCTGTCTGGCTCAACCACTGCTACGCCACCATGGCAACTTCACTGCAAGTCTGAAACTTGGAGAAAGGAAAGAGCAGGGCAAGAAGCCACGAGGAAGCCCACAGCGCAGGATGAACGCTGCAGACAAGCTCCAGTGCTGGGGGCTCAGAGCAGTGGGTGCGAGCTCCGGGTCTCACACAATCTCCCTGCTTAATGACAACAGAGAAAGCCAGAGAAGCTGACACCAGCACGGCCAAGTGCCGAGGCCAACATCCCCGACGCCCTTGGGGAGGACCCCACACCGCTTTCAGCCAAAAGGCGTCACTCAACCCCAAGAGGACACCAGACAAACTCAAAGTGAGGGATATGAGAGGATTCCTGTCTCCCATGCGGGAAACCCAGGTTCGATTCCCGGCCAGTGCACCTCATGTGCAGCTTGCACCCACCTGTCCGTGGAGGCTGGCGTGTTGCTGTGGGGCTGTGGGGCTGTGAGGCTGTGGGGCTGTGGGGCTGTGGGGCTGTGGGGCTGTAGGGCTGTG